AATTAGCTTATTTCACTTCGCATATTTTCTAGTTCCATCCATTTACCTGCAAATGCCATAACTTCATTCTTCTTTAAGCCTGAGTAATATTTCACTGTGTATATGTACCACATGTTCTTTATCCATTCATCTGTTGAAAGGGCATCTAGGTTGGTTCCATAGTTTAGTTATTATGAATTGAGCTGCTATACACACTGATGTGGCCGTTTCAGTATATTATGCTGATTTTAAGTCCTTTGGGTATAAACAGAGGAGGGGGATAGCTAGGTCAAATGGTGGTTCCATTCCAAGTTTTCTGAGGTATCTCCAAACTGCTTTCTATAGTGGTTGCATCAATTTGCAGTCCCACCAGCAATGTATGAGTGTACCTTTTTCTGTACATCTTTGACAACACTTATTATTGCTTGTATTCTTAATAATTGCCATTCTGACTGGGGTAAGATGAAATCTCAGAGTAGTCTTGATTTGCATTTCTCTAATTGCTAGAGAGATAATGAACATTTTTTCATGTTTGTTGATCAATTGTATTTCTTCTTCTGTGAAGTGTCTGTTAAGTTCCTTAGCCCTTAGGACAGACCACACTTGATTTGGTTATTTGTTTTTTTGGTGTTAAGTTTTTTGAGTGCTTTATAGATCCTGGAGATTATTTTCCCATTCTGTAGGCTCTCTTACGTTACTGATTGTTGCCTTTGCTGAGAAGAAGCTTTTTAGTTGGAGTCCATCCCATTTATTGATTCTTGATTTTATTTCTTGCACTTTAGGAGTCTTTTTTAAAAAATATATAATCTGCTCATATACAATTTATTTATTCTGAGTTTTTTAATTTAATTTTACTTTTTAATTCATTTTAATTAGTTATACATGACAGTAGAATGCATTTATATACTTTGATGTATCATACATAGATGGGATATAATTTCTCATTTTTCTGAGTACTTTAGGAGTGTTGTTCGGGAAGTCAGGTCCTAAGCTGACATGATGAAGATTTGGGCCTACTATTTTTAATACTAGGTGCAGGGTCTCTGTTCTAGTGCCTAAGTCTTTGATCCACTTTGAGTTGATTTTTGTACAGGGTGAGAGAGAGGGGTTTAATTACATTTTGCAACATATGGATTTCCAGTTTTCCTGGCACCATTTGTTGAAGAGGCTATCTTTTCTCCAATGTATGTTTCTGGTGCCTTTGTCTAGTATGAGATAACCATATGTGTATAGGTTTGTCTCTGTGTCTTCTATTTTGTAACATTGGTCTACAGGTCTATTTTGGTACCAATACCACACCCTTTTGTTACTGTTTCTCTGTAGTGTAGATTAAGGTCTGGTATTGTGATGCCTCCTGCTCCACTTTTCTTGCTAAGGATTGCTTTGGCTACTCTGGGTCTCTTGTTTTCCCAAATGAATTTCATGATTGCTTTTTCGAGTTCTATGAAGAATGTCATTGGAATTTTAATAGGAATTGTATTAAATCTGTATAACAGTTTTGGTAGAATGGATGCCACATCTTTAATCCTACTTTTATGCAGGCAAAAGTGGAGGCAAAAAACATATGCAGGCAAAAGTGGAGTCTAAGTCCTTGTTACAACACTAATAGCTTTCTTACTTATCTTTTATAATTTTTTTGGTGGTCCTAGGTGAAACAGTTTAAATTTGTGGTTTAATGTTAGGGAAAAATTAAACTACTTTATTAAGTTCTTGAGTTCAGAAGTCTACAGGACAAAATAGCCTCACCCACATGAGAAGGAAAATTAACTGTTTCATTTGCCTTATGGAAATAATAATGCTCACTCTACTTCACAATATCTACTTAAGGATCAAATGAAATAATTTATGAACATGTATAGAGAAATGTGCCATATTTCATCAAATCTTAGACATATCCATTTTATGACACACTATTAGTTTATGAACCACTAAAGAAAGAAACAATGTGGCCCATTTAAAGCTGTAATACATTTTCTTATCACAAAACTCATTTGTTTATTAATACTAGGGATTAAATCCAGGAGTGCTTTACCACTCAGTTACGTTCCCAGTCCTTTTTATTTTTAATTTTGAGACAGGGTCTCACTAAATAGCTGAGGCAGGCCTTGAACTTTTTTTAAAAAATATTTTTATATTTTTTGTAGCTGTACACAATAACTTTTTTATTTATTTTATATGGTGCTGAGGATTGAACCCAGGGCCTTGCACATGCAAAGGAAGTGCTCTACCTTTGAGCCATAACCCCAGCCCCATTGAACTTATGATCCTCTTCCCTCAGCCTCCTGAGTTGCTGGGATTACAGGCATGCTACTGCTCCTGGTATTTACAACTTTCACTAGTTACTAAAAGAGCTTTTTTATACTTAGTTAGATAGGGACTATTATGTTGAATACTTGTGCAAACAATAAGAGAAAAATATAAATGCAATCAATTGTTTAAAAGGTATTCTTAAAAAAATTGTGGCAGGGGGGTTGTTGAGGATTGAACTTATGACCGCATACATACTAACCATGTGCTCTACCACTGAGCTATGTTCCCAGTCCCTGACTAAGGTATTAACTTTTTGATAAGTCCAACATTTCTGAATTAGTCTTCAACTCAATCATTGATATCCATGTTTTCCTACATAATACCCTTATTCAAGCAGTCAAGAATACTGATGATGCAGCACTTCTTATACACATCCATAAATAAAAGTCACTAAAGGACACACCAGTGATTCCATTAAAATGGAAGTTGAGACTGTCCCATGGCTACCTTGGTCTCCTCATTGCCAAGCAGACTAACCATCAAAGAGGGAATTCCCTATAGTGCCCACAGTGACCGATCTTGACTAATCAGGAAAAACTGGGTTGCTGTGGCACAATGGAAGTCAGGTGTATGCACAAGACCTCATGGAGTATCTCTTAGAACTCCTGTGTTCTGTGATTTAATTGATTATATTTCACTTTACCTATTAAAATTCCAATGACATTCTTCAAAATGTACAGGATTATTTCAGGAGAAACTCACTGAAAACATTTACCAGAAATCTTTTTTGCGTGTGTGTATGTGTGTGTGTGTGTTACTGGACATTGAACCAGGGGTGCTCTACCACTAAGCTACATCTCCAGAGCTTTTTTACCAAAAAAAAAAAAAAAAAAAAATTAAATAATTTTTTGAGACAGGGTCTTGCTAAGTTGCTGCCTTGAACCTGCCATACTCCTGCCTCCATCTCCAAAGTCATGGGATTACAGGCCTACCCCACTGATAAGAAAATGGGGCTATTCAGTATGGAGATTCCTCAGAAAACTTGGCATGGAACCACCATTTGACCTATTTATCCCACTTCTCATTATATTCCCAAAGGACTTAAAATCAGCATACTTATAGTGACAAAGCCACATCAATGTCTATAGCAACTTAATTCACAATAGTTAAACTATGGAACTAACCTAGGGGTCCTTCAAAAGATGAATGGAAGAAAGAAAATGTGGTATATATACACAATGGAATATAACTCACCCATAAGGAAGAATGAAATTATGGCATTTGCTGGTAAATGGATGGAACTGGAGACTATCATGCTAAGTGGAAAAAGCCAATCCCCTAAACCAAAAGGCCAAAAATTCTCTCTGATATGCAGATGTTAATACACAATAAGGCAGGGGTGGGTGCAGAACTTCATTGGATTGGACAAAGGGGAATGAGGGAAAGGGAGGAGGGACAGAAATAGAAGACAGAATAAATCAAACATAACTTTCCTATTTTTATATATAAATACATGACCAATGTAACTCCACATCATGTTCAACCACAAGAATGAGATCCTAATTAGAATAAGTTATACTCCATGTACATATGTATGTATGTCAAAATACATTTAAGCGTCATGTATATATAAAAAGAATAAAAAAAGAAAATGGGCTATTATATGTTTAAGATGAGTAGTGTGTACATGACTTTTTATTTCTTTATGCCTTATATATTCTTTTATATTTATGGAGGGAAAATAGGATAAATACATAAATTTGGGGGCCATCAGTCTCATTGATTTCTGAAGCTGTGAGAATTCACGAATCAATAACCTAAATTTAAATCTCACAAGTGAGCCAAAAACAATTTCTGACTGAATATCTATGGTGTTAACTCTTTGAACACTTTTCCTTAAAAGAGTACTCTGTAATTTCAATAAGTAAGAGTTACTAAGCTATGTGACTTGTAAATTGCTTAATGTCTCAGAACCTGTTTCCTAATCTATAAAAAGGACACTTTGGAATGGGAGCTCGGAGGAAAAAGACTTTTCTTATCCTCATCAGGGTTTCTCAACCTCAGCAGCACTGACATTTCAGGCCAGAGACTTTGTTGCAGGGTGCTGTCCTATGTATCCTAAGAAGTACAGCAGCCATCCTGGCCTCTATTCTTCTCTGCCCTCCACCATCCAGAGATGCCAGCACCAACTCTCCCCTTCCAGATAAGAGGTTGAAAACGCTCCAGGCATTGCCAATGTATCCCAGGAGGCAAATCATTGCAGTTGAAAATCACAGTGCCAACCTCGTGTTCATCCTAAAAGGTTCTGAGAAAAAAATAAAGCGACGGTTCCAATGGACTAGAACGCAGAGGCCCCAACTCATAGTTTCAAGAAGGCAGAAACCATGAGTCAAAAACCTGGGAATGAGGAGCTATGAGCTGTCCATGAGTAATCCAAGTCCTAATGGATTCATCGTGAGAAATAGGCAACAAGGGACTAACTAAAAGGACAAGAGGCCAAGCCGGTCACCACTTAACGCTGCTTAGCCGGCTCCTACGTAGACTTATTTCCGGGAAAACCGAGACAGTGACGCCGCCAATAAGGCGGCAAAGAACCAAGGGTAAGTACACTGGAAAGGAAGGCTTGGGCGTCCCGCACCGACGCCCCGCCCTGACGCGCCGCGTGCCTCGCCCAGCGCCAGCCCTCCTGGCCACGCCTCTCGGCAGGCTCCGCCCCACCCCATCCCCACGGGTGGCTCCCCGGCCTCCGCCGGCGTCCGCCTGTGCGCGGCGCTGCGTGAGCTGCTGGTGAAGGAGGAGGCGTTGGCCCTGCCACGTTTGGGTTGCGGTTCCCGGCTCTGGCGCGGGCGGTGCAGGAGGAGGTGGGGCTGGCGCTGAAGCCGGATCCGGATCCGGTGCCGTGTAGCTGGGTGGAGGAGAGTCCCACGCGTGCGAGGAGGAGCACCAACGGTTGGGCCTCTGCAGGTGAGAAGGGGCCCGGTGTCCTGAGGGCGTCGGGAACTCGTCTTCAGGTTTACCGAAAGCCGAGGAGGGCTAGGCCCCGAAGGGGTTCTGTTTGGGCTGTTTATCTTCGCCAGCTGTGTGCACTTGGCGGTGTGGAGCGCGGTTCCCAGGAAGTTGAACCGACGCGCTCCTGGAGCAGAGGTTAAGGATGATGGCCAACGGTCACGCCATTCAGGGGTCCTGGCCTGGCAGAGCAGAAACTGGGACTGGGGTCGAACTAACTCCACTCTCGGGCTTTGGCGTGGGAGATGGAGACCCTTGCTCTCCGTTTCTGCAGCCAACGGACCCACTCTCCCTTCTCGCGTCCTTTCCTGGGGTATCCCATAGTGGTGGGAACCATTGAGGACACTCTCCTGATCGCTCTGAAGATCACCGACTACATCAGGGGGCCTTCCCCGGGAAGAGAGGGGTATCCTTTGTGTCTTTTCTCAGGGCTTCTGCCCCTAGAAACAGCGAGTATTATGTGATTTCTATTGTACTAGCTGGTGTTTATGTAAGCCGAACTCTTAAAAAATTTCACATAAAATTGAAAGGGCAATTATGAGATTCATTTTGTTGGGCTAATCACTCGAAATGAATCCAGAATAGGTCTCAGGAAATCATTTACATGTTTTAGACGGGATTTGATGAATAGGGGAAATAACTACCAGTCAGTACCATTTGGTACTTACTTTATTGTAGCGCTCAACATGGGAAACAGGATTCTAGTTCCAGTTTACTTATTACAGTGAAGCAAGTCTTGAAACTTCTTTGTGCTCCAGCTTCCTCATCAGTCGACTGGAAATAATGTCTAGATGTTAGAGATTTAATGCTATCAAAAAATACTTTTGTAAATTGGTGCATTTGCGCGCTTTTATCAGCAAATGTTCTTTGTAAATCTTCATGTCCAGTGTCCATTACTTGTTGCTCTCAATTGCTTCTAGGAGCAACTCCTGCCCATTTGTATTCTAATCTGATATAGAGGCTGGGAAACCATCTTATTGAAATTGTGTCTAAAAGTACTCAAATTAATGAAAGTTTCTCAATAGTAGTAAAAATGAATTTGATGTATGATTTTTGTGATATCGCTTGTGACAGTGTAGAAATGTTTTTCCCTTGAAATATGATCTCCAGTTAAGTCTTAACGTCATTCATTATTCGTTATTCATTCATCAGATACTTACTGGGTTAGGCTAGGCAATTGTGGCCTTGTAAATGCATGCTAATTTAGCAGTTAAACAGAAAAGTTTCTTGAGGAATATTTAAGGGGGCTTAGGGTTTTTTGCTTTTTCCTTTTTTAAGGGATTTTTTTTCCCACATAACCAAACTTCAAGAAGTACAGAAGTAAAGGTGGATTAAGTTACAACAGGGTGAAGAATCTTAAAACCATTATAACTTTTTCAGTCTCCACATGTCTACTATTTTCTATAGTTCTGTTTTTTGTTTGTTTTGGAAGTGGGGATGGATTGAATTTGGGCACTCAACCACCTAGCCACATCCCTAGCACTGTTTTGTATTTTATTTAGAGATAGGGTCTCACTGAGTTGCTTAGCGCCTTGCTTTTGCTGAGGCTGGCTTTGAACACGAGATCCTCCTGCCTCAGCCTCCAGAGCCGCTGGGATTACAGTCTTCTGACTATACAATTAGGTTCTTGAGGAGGCTGAATACATAAATCTCATCTTCATAGTTTCCTGACCAGAAAGAGGGTTCTTCCTCTTTTGCTCCATGTTGTAAATCTTAATTAAATTATATAAAGATTTTTGGTTCTTATACTTTCAGCTGGATCAATCAATCACTGTATTATTTATTTAGTAGCTAGTGTTACATATGGAATTAAAATTTCTTAAGCAGGGAAGGAGGGGGAATGGGGGTAGTAAAGATGGTGGAATGAGATGGACATCATTACCCAAGTTCATGTATGATGACACAAGTGGTGTGACTTTACTTTGTGTACAAGCAGAGAAATAAAAATTTGTGCTCCATTTGTGTACTATAAATCAAAATGCATTCTGCTGACATGTCTAACTAATTAGAATGAATAAATTTAAATTGCTTAAGCAAAAAATTATTATTGGCAAATTGTGGTAGAGTCATTTGTTTTCAATTCTTCCATCTCCCTTCTTCCTTAGTACAGTTTCATTGTAGAAAGAGTGACTTTCCCACTTTTTGACTTTGTTCATAGCTAGTTGTGGAGACTTTTAAGAATTGCCTTTTTTTTTTCTCCTGCTTGCCCCTTTGAATTTCTGACCTTTGCCATGAGAATGGCCTGTCTCAGGGATACCCAGCTTCTTCAGCAGTTATTTACTGGTTTATTATAAAGGATATTACAAAGGATACAGATTTAGAGTTGTTTAGGGTGAGGTATGTGGGAAGGTGTGCAGAACTTTCATGCCCTCTCTGAACCCACCACTTTCCAGGAGCCTTCACATATTCAGCTATCTGGAAGTTCCAGGGTTTACTTTTAAAAATTAAAAATAATATAAGGCCATTAATGATGATAAGATTCAGCTTTCACCTTTAGTGAAATTTCTTAGTTTTGAGTATCTGTGGGTACCTTAAAATGCTAAAATATTTATTTTTTAAGCCAATTAAAATTACCTATTTAGTTCTTTCGGTACCAAGGATTGAACCCAAGGTGTTCTATCACTGAGCTACATTGCCAGTCCTTTTTATTTTGAAACAGATTGGTCTGAAATTCTCATTTTCCAAAGTAAAGGTAACCAAGTACTGATTGACCATGCACAATAAAGAAGGAAATTCCTTTACTTCATCTACTTTTAGTTTATCTTCAGTGGAATAGTTAAGAGTCTGAAGTCATTCTGCCTAGCAGGACTTGCCATATAATTTGTAGGGACCTGTGCAAAATTAAAATGCAGGGCACTTGTTAAAAAAAAATTCTTAAAAATTTCAAAGTAGTAGCAGCAGAGTATTAAACCAAGTGCTGGGCCCCTGTGCACCATATAGATCCAGGGCCTGTGAAGCTGCCCTATTGCTTTGTTTTGAATTCTAAATTGTGTTGCTTATTGGCACTGGTATCTTGAGCAAATTACTGTGCCTGCTTCCTTGTATGTAAAAGAGGGATAAAATCATTATGTATCATTGATTGTGTTTTAAAGAGTTAACAAGGGCTGGGGATGTGGCTCAAGCAGTTAGCCCGCTTGCCTGGCATGCGCAGGGCTGCTGGGTTTGATCTTCAGCACCACATAAAAATAAAGATGTTGTGTCCATCGAAAACTAAAAAAAAATATTAGAAAGTTCTCTCTCTCTCTTATTTATCTTTTTTAAATAAATAAAGAGTTAACAAATACCAAGTATGCAAGGGTCAGCTAGTAGTGCTTTATCACTCATAGAACAGGACCATCTGGTTAGAGAAAAATCACAGAACTATAAATATTTACTGATTAAATTCATTAAAGGCTTCACAGACTAATTCTTCTGTGTAATTTCCTCATGAAATTAGTAACCCTTTTTGTGTAGCTTCCAGTCAACATTTTATTATAAATTCTGGCAACTTTAAGGGAAAAGGGAATCTAGTAAATCCCTTGAAGTTTTGTTAATATTTATCTAAATTCCCTTTTGAGGTTTCTTTAAATGTCATGCTTTTATATGTGAAATAACACGATCAAATGTTTTAATAGGGTATTACCTTGAGGAACTAAAAAAAATTTACTTTTCCCAGCATATTAGTTGGACACCAGCAGATCTGCATACCTGAAAAAAACAATATTTTTTGCCCATCTTTCACATGAGATTTTATACAGCAGCTTCAATGGTCCAACTACCAGGGACAAATACTAAAATGTATGCCTATGAAAAACCTGTTTAGGATGGATGGTAAGCTTATTAATTTGATATGAGAGTTTTAATCATCACAGTTTACATTCTTTCTTCAATATTGTTCAACTTAGGTATAGTGTTACAGCACAACTTGATCTGAATTGTGAGGGGGAAAAATGCTTAGTATTCTATGTAATAAAATACATTTTAATTTTTTCCTATCCAAGAAGAGTAACTTTTGGCTTAATATAAACACAACAACTTGTCATTCTTTTTATAGTCCCTGTATCCAGCAGTGCCTAAATCATGAATTAAAGGCAAAAAGAACTTGTAAAATGAATTTTAAATTTATTACTAATTAGAATGTATCTTGCTTTTTTGTGGTACGCCACATATTTTAAGTGCTTGCTTGCATATAATAATTCTTTTCAAATTTGTGTAATTTCATCTGTATTTTACAAATGAGGAAACACGATTCTAAGAGCTTAATTACCTTAACCAAGATCACAGTTGACATTTGAATTAACAAGTCCACTTGTTTCCATGTCCAGGTTTAAGCCCTGTCTTCCTAAATTTTGTGACCTCAGGCAAGATATTTAATATCACTGTACCTTTATTTCTTCATCTGTTGAAATGGAGATAACAACACCTAGTCTGTAGGATTTTTGAAGCAAATGACTTAGTAATACGTCAAGTCCCTTGAAGAGTGCCTGGCATGAAGTAGGTGCTGAGGAAGTATTGAATTCTGTTATTACACAACACTAACTTCCCAAAGCCTATACAAACCTGCAGCATTACCTGTATAGTTACATAGAGTGGTCACACAGGCAGAAATTTAATAAGAAAAGTTAAGTCTATTTGCCATAAAGCATGTTGTGACTTATAAAATAGGTATTTAATTTATGAGAAAATTGCTCTTTCAATAAATGTTTCTTTATAGGAATAGAATTGAAAGGGTATAGTTCTAGAAATGAAAGTTGGAGGATTTTACTTAGTCCCTGGATGAGCAGGAAGATCCTATTTCTTTGAGCAGCTCTGTACTCTATTGAAGTGCTCCTCCCACCTCATTTTATACTTCATAAAAATTTTCATCTTTCCCTACTGTTTTATCTATTATTTAGTCTTAGTTTTATTAGATCACTAGTGAGAATCTGCCCATTTCTGAATGTTCAAAAAAGCAAGGGAAATACCATAATTGGTCATTTTTCAATAGCATGAAAACACTGGCTATTCTTAAACTGCATAGATGCAACTGAGTAACTTATGTTACAGATTTTTAGAAAATCTGTTATGAAAACAAAATTTATCTTTAGTGTCTTATCTGTCATAGCTAAGACCAGTATTGCTAATGAACACAAAATAATTCAGTAATTAGCGTTCATCATGATTAATATAAAAAAGTGATATGCTCAATAAGTCTTTACACTTAACAATCCCACTTTCTGATAGTAAGCATGACGTGTGTGTGTGTGTGTGTGTGTGTGTGTTTTACTGGGGATTTAACGCAGGGGCACTATACCATTGAGCTCTATCCCAGTCTTTTTTTTTTTTTGAAATAGGGTCTTGCTAAGTTGCCAGGCTGACTTTGAACTTTTGATCATTCTGTCTCAGCCACCAGAGTTCCTAGGAATACAGACACGCATCAACAAGCCCAACAAAGCATGATGTAAAAATACACCCCCCCCCCCCCACACACACACACACATCGAGAGACCAAGAGATCGATCTGTAGTTGGGGCATTTGAAATTAGATTCTTGGTAGGCTAAAGCAAAATAGCTTGTATAACTGTTATAGAATGCTTCATTAATTTTATCATCAACCATAATAATTTTCTTTTAGTAATCAAAATGCCTTAACATTTAAATTTTTATTTTAGACCTTACTGGAAAGATGAAACCTGATGAAACGCCAATGTTTGACCCAAGTCTACTCAAAGAAGTGGACTGGAGTCAGAATACAGCAACATTTTCTCCAGCCATTTCTCCAACACATCCCGGAGAAGGTTTGGTTTTGAGGCCTCTTTGCACTGCTGACTTAAATAGAGGTATGGAATCACTCCGTGAGGAAATCCTGGTTAGAATTATAGTTGGCCTTCTGTTTTCTTTATAAACATGACACTGATAAATTTTAAAAATATTTGTCTTTAGGATTATTTTTAGACTTCATTTTTTAGTGACTGGAAAATTCAATTTTGACTAATATATGTTTATGATAAATGTATTTTCACTCTATAATGAAATATACATGTCTATCATGGCTAAGACTAAATAGTTCTGTGAAATAGTTCAAATGACTTTAACATAACAGTGCTCCTTCCAATTATTGATAATTGCATATTTGTTTGAAAAGTCTTTTTGGAAGGAGCACTATTATATTAAAGTCATTTGAACTATTTCACAATACTATTATAACAACATTAGGTCTTTTTAAGAAGCCAGATGGGAAATGAAAGTACAGATAATTTTCCTTGGTTAAGTTGAAAAGGTTGTCTGTTTCTATGTACTTATTTTTTTGGGTGTGGCAGGGATACTAGGGATTGAACCCAGGGACACTTAGCCACTGAGTTACATCCCTGGCCCTTTTTTTATATTTTTTATTTTGAGACAATCTCTCTTTAAGTTTCTTAGGGCCTCACTAAGTTGCTGATGCTGGTTTTGAACTCATGACCCTCCTGCTTTGGCCTCCGGAGCCGAGCTGCTGGGATGCGCCACTCTTCCTGGCTCTAAATACTTCTTTTTTTTTTTAAAGAGAGAGAGAATTTTTTAAATATTTTCTTTATTTTTTTAGTTTTCAGTGGACACAACATCTTTGTTTGTATGTGGTGCTGAGGATTGAACCCGGGACGCACGCATGCCAGGCGAGCGTGCTACGGCTTGAGCCACATCCCCAGCCCCTCTATATACTTCTTTTATTAACATCTAAATTCTTCAAACTAACTTAAACCTTGTTAATCAAAAGTCAGCATTTTACTTCTCAGTTTACTTCTGGGTAAGAAACCTGAAGAAACATAATTTTGGTCAAAGTAATTATTGAGTCTAGAAAAGACTCTCAAAGTTCTAAGTGTACTTTTAATATTAGATATAATAAAATTACGAATCTTTAAAATTGTAGTCAACGTTATATTATTTATATTTTGATAAATGTTTTGTATCTGTTCATAGTAAGAAACTTAGGAAAAGTTGGCATTCCTTGTGCTGAATTTAACAAAGATTATGTCGAAAAAATATACGTAGTTTGTACTATTCCAAAAATTTTGTGCAGGCAAAAATGTTGTTCAAATATTTTATTACCTTTATTGTATGATTCAAGAAATAATAGTTAAGTGATGATTATGGAAAATTTGAAAAAATGATTGCCCATATTCACAACAACTTAACATATTACTTCTTTTCATATTTTGCCTTTCCTCATGATTTGAAATCTGGTCTTCAAACAAGGGTTTTTTAAGGTACTGGGTCAGCTAACAGAGACTGGAGTTGTCAACCCTGAACAGTTTATGAGTAAGTACTATAGCCTCTGTTTCCTGAATAAAATTAAAGGGAAGTAAGATTTTATTTTTGTTTAGAGCACTGTTCAGTGCCTGCTTGTTTTTGTTCAAACAGCTGGAAGTAATAGATTAGCTATTTTTATTTTAATGTTTAACTTGTTGTAGAATCCAAATATAGTAACTACCTTGTTTTGCTAAATACCTACATTTACAAAAGTGCAGGGTGCAGATCAAAAGACTTTTAATTTATTGTAGTATTTCCTTCCATATGATTAGATTATTCACAGAAATTTCATTACCAACCTTCCCCCACCCTCAAAACTCAAGAGCATATGTACTTTTGTTCTTATATTGAATTTCAAGGTTGGCAGGTATCCGTTAGTCTAGCCCACTACCCCGACCCCAGCTTTTTTTTTTTTTTTTGGTGCTGGGGATTGAGCCTAGGATCTTGTACATGCATCCCCATCCCAGCTTTTGAGAAAATGGATATCCAGAGAGATCCAGTGTCTTACTCAAGACCACAGATAGTTATTAGTAAGGAAAGGACCAGAACTTCAACTTCATCCAGTACTCCCAACACTGCCCTTCCGGTTTCCTACAATTCTTTATTCCTTTTAGTAGGTAAGTTTGTTTTGTATTCTGACTCTGGTAAAAATGAAGGTCAACATTTTCCAATTCTCATTTATGTATTTCTTCTTCCCACTACCTCTCTGTACAAATAAACAGTACAAGACCTATTAGGTTTGGTTTTTAACTTCTGAATTTCTCTTTGCATGCATATCAGATTCATTGAGAAATTCTTTTTTCAGCAATATAAGCATTAATAATCACTTAAGGGGAGTGAAGCTATGCTCCTCTTATGTGACTTTGGAAAAACTACTTGGAAATGGAGACATTTTTCACTTACTTTTAAGATGGTTTCAAAACATCTAAAAGAGCAAGTATGTAATTATGAAATAGTTGAAATCACAAAAGGAAAATAAAAAATTTGTTAAATTTTGAAATTACAGAATACACATTCTTCTTAAAATCTGCAAAGTTTGAATATCTGTTGAGTACATATTGAATAAAGTATTGAAGTTTTAATTAGTCATAAAAATAGCAACATATACAATTTGTATTTTAAGTACTATTAATCTAAAATAACTGTCAATCTTAACTATATTTTGCTAGCAGATTATTTTAAATGTATGCACCATAGTCCAATTAATATTGACTGTTGATATTTCAACTCTTTGATTGTTTGGATAATATGCTTTTAGATATGGAATATAAATTACTATGGTAAAATAGCTTTAAGTATTTAATAATAAATCATCCAATCTTAGTATTTTTATGGCACCTAATAAAATAAGTCTACCATGTAACACTCTTTTTTTTCCACTTTCTACAGAATCTTTTGAGCATATGAAGAAATCTGGGGATTATTATGTTACAGTTGTGGAAGATGTGACTGTAGGACAGATTGTTGCTACAGCAACTCTGATAATAGAACATAAATTCATCCATTCCTGTGCTAAGGTATGTGCTCACATTAATGCTTGTGAGTAAAATGGGTGTTTTCTAGCAAAAATGACTTTGAATTTCTGCTAGACAAATGTTTTCTTACTGCTTTTCATTGTTTTCTTAGAAATCGTTTAGCAATAAGCAATTTCCTGGTGTGTTTCTGAGAATTATAAATGAAAGAAAACATTAAGTGTATTAACTGCTTACTAAACTTGTTATATAAAGGTTTTAGATTTGACATAGTCATAGAAAAACTGGGTTTCATTAAATTCAGGAGTAATGTTTAAAATCCCTAATGTTTTTTTCCAAAAATAATACTTTGTACTGCATTAGCAGAAATTTCTTATTATTTTCTTGTTAGTAAAGATTGCAGAATACTATGTTTGTCTTCCAATTCTCATAAAATTCACATGATATAATAAATATATAAGAAACCCAATGAAAATGAAAATAAGAACACATGGGATGTATCACGTGCTTTATGAATTTGGGGGTGGGGGTTAAGCCACTAGAAACTGATAAAATTTTACTTGTCTATCTGAAACAAATTTTTATTGAGCAGAGTAGAATGATGGATGTACTGTGTTTATGGAAAGATTTGTTTTTGGTGATACAGATTCTGAGATTTGCTTTAATACATGGAGTGGGGGAGATTGGGGATATAACCAGAAAATGATTAAACTAAAAGTTGATTCTTTTTATTTCCTCTATGGTAATAAGTTAAAAAAATGCATTTTGGTTCTTATGAAGTTCAAGTTTACAAAACATTATCAATAAATTCTTACCAGCTATCACTTGGTTTATCTGAAAACAAAACTGGATGAGTAGTCCTAAACACTGTAAACTACTTTTCAGAGAGGAAGAGTAGAAGATGTTGTTGTTAGTGATGAATGCAGAGGAAAGCAGCTTGGCAAATTGTAAGTAAACGAAGAAGGTAACTCTGGGTAAGCTGGATACTCGTTTCATTTCATTTCTTGCTAAAATGCCTGTTAATTTTTTTTTTCCTTTTTGAAGTTCTTTTTGGGCTACATTAATTCTGAATTAATTTTTATTGTATAGCTTGGAATTGAATTTAATGACAAAAATATTAAATAGTTTCAGAGTTTGAAAACTGAAAGCATACTGTTACCAATAGTCACTTTTTTTTTTTTTTTTTTTTAGTATTAGGGATTGAATCCAGGGTCACATGCACTGAACTATACACCAGACCTTCTCAAATTTTCTGTTGAGCCAGAATCTAAGATGAGGTTAGCCTCAAACTTGAGATCTTCCTGTGTCAGCCTCTCCACTAGCTGGGATTACAGGTGTACACCATTACACCTGGCTAGATCACATTATATTTTAAAAGAATGTCTCTTTTAAGGATTTGTAAAGATGTATACTCTTTTGCTTTGTGTACATCTGTTATTAAACCTATGTTGATTTAAAAATTATTAATGGGGCTAGGGATGAAGGTTAGTGTTAAGAGTACATTCATATGGGCAACCCTTGGGTTCCATCTCCAGTACCACAAACAAACAAAATTAGAAGGCTGTATACTACCAATTACTTTGAATAGATTTATAACAAAGACCTTTTACTAAATAATTTTGGCTATATTTTTACACAAGTTGATAGTTGATAGTCTTCAGTGTTAACATGAATAAGTCCCTTTAAAGAGTTTAGGGTAATTTATCTTGTTTACTAATGAGCTGGAGGTTACTAGATAAAGTTTTTGAAACTAAGTAAAAATGCTTTGGTGATTTAAATGCTTATTGACTTTATAAATATGCTATGATCATATTTATACCTATTTCTAATAAAGACCGAAGTTTTATTTTTCTGTAACATCAATTCACATTGTTATTGAAATTCATTTTAATAAATGCTGTCTCCTCACTTTCCCTTTTTAAAATTTTAGGTTATTATCAACTCTTACTTTGCTAAGCAAGAAACTGAACTGTTATAAGATCACTCTTGAATGTCTACCAGAAAATGTTGGTTTCTACAAGAAGTTTGGATATACAGTATCTGAAGAAAACTACATGTGTCGGAGGTTTCTACAGTAAAAATCTTGAGAGGATCTAATGCTACAGCACTTCATTCTTCCTAGAATAAAAAAACATTTTTGTTACTGCAACCCAGTGACCTCCATAATGCTGGACTGAAAAAACATTGGACTACTACAAGTTTAATGACATTTAGAAGATTACTTTAAGATGGTGGGACAGTCTGTGAGTTTAGATTACAAATGAATATTATCAAAGGGGATGATTTTTAACCAAAGGAATATATTTTTAACTTGAATCTTTTCTTGCATTGTATTTTTCTAAAGTTTGGCTTCATTTCTTGATAGTCAAGAGTATGGGTAGTAAGGAGTTATAGGTATGCTGTCTTTGCTGCTCATTTTTAAAAAGTATACATTCACAAAATTAAATATTTTGTTTCAAAGAAACATCTAAATAAACCTAGAGGTGTATCATTTCTCACATATTATAGGAAGTTGGATAAATTACTTAGAACTAAGTTTGTCCATCTTAATGTTGGCAAACAACTTTGTCAACATTGTAAAGAAAGAAAAATTAGCTTATAAAATGTGACAAGATTTTAAGTACAGTAGTTTAAATGTTTCAGTAAAAGTTCATACTGTTCTTATGGAGATCAAGTACCACCTGTCTTACTGTAAAACAATAAATTTGCCCAAGGGCAAATAAAACAGGCCATCCAAGGTACGCTTTTGTGGAATTGTGTGTGGTACTAGTGATTGAACCCAAGTTAAAGTACCTTTTTAATAGTGAACTAGCAACTCTAGGCATATCCCAGTTTCTCTTTTCATGGGTATCTGAAACCTTTCTTCTGTCAAACATTTTTATGAAACATGGACAGATTATAAAATTTGAGTGATATTTAAAAATGTATGGTACTATAATTGCCACATTGTTAAAATACTGATGGAAGCTTTTATATTTAATGTGATTATAATGGTACTATTATTCTGATCACTATCTTGTTTTGATTTTATTTATTTCAATTATTTTTTAAAGTTGAAGAATTAGATGCTTATTAATGGTTCTAATCTTTTGCATTCCATGTTATATTAAACCTGTTCATATAAATTATTAAAATCCTGCCTGTTGCTTTTCTTGAATGTATTATTGAACTATTAGATTCATTCTTCATTCATGACATCCTAGTTTTGTGTATTCTTTGTAAGGACCACCTGTTTCTCACCTCCGATTCATACCACATCAGTTGGGTTTCCCTCCAAACAGTCAGCTAAAATTGGCTTTCCAAGACAACAGAAATCCTTCACCAATAAGGTATACTACTCATATGCTGACCCATTTATCCAGATGAACCCATCTGCCTATAGTGAAAGCAATAAAATTTGTTCTTTTTTTTCAGGAGTTTTAAAACCTTAGTTGTAGCTTCATTAGGTAAATTCAGGTAATTAAAAACCCATATTAAGTAAGCCTAGTAAAAAGTTGAAATTTAATTCTTTATTAAACTTCTTACCACTGAACTATTTGAAGTAAAATTATCTATTAGGCTGGTATTTCAATAAATCCCATTAAATTGTGTTCTTCAGGTCTTCTCTTAAATCCCCCCTATAGGAAATAGAGTTATAGATAAGGCTTAGTATGTAAAAATTGTGTTACTCTAGTTTTAGTTATCAAAATGTTTATTTCTAATTCATATGAAAAAAATCTGCATTTAATATATAAACTATATTAACTTTTTTTGTTAGCACTTTTGTTTTTGAAAAGGTATAATGAATGGTAACTCTGATTTTTAGGTGACCCATATTTTTTGTTTATGTTTCATTAATCTGAAAATGTAGTGGGCTATCCCTAAAATCTGGATGCATTTAAGGATCACCGACCTGCTATAGTTTAGTCAGCAATATTTTGCTCTCAGTGTTATAGTTTAGGTGGGATCTTAGATTTGATTAAGCAAAGTGGATGAGGGAGAGAGACAGTACTATAAAATCAAGTATTATTTTTTTTTAATGGACTAAAAGTGGTGCTATAAATGATGTACCTATCCTTCCTTCAGACATGAATTCCCAACTTGCTCAACTAACTGGAATTTGGGGTTTGCAGACATTTTTGAGTGTGTGTTGACCACAAGGTTTTGAAAGATATTCTTGTTTCAACGTTCATTCACCTTTTTTAATCTGTAGGAGTAAAACTGGGTTATTTTTACCCAGAGAATAAGTAAAGAAGTTCTCAGGCATCAGCAGTACGAATGAACTTTTCAATATTTTTGAGGTATAATGGCACAACAGTTTTAATACAACCACCAATCTTCACAAAATAATTTTAATACTTTGTGCCTCGGGTAGCAGCATTTTGCACTATGACATTCCTATACATACATAAGCATTTTATCCAAGTACAAATGTTAAAAGCAGAGTAATGTAAGCAATTGCTTATACAAAGGTAAATAGACACTGTAATGTTTTCTTCTTGAATCATTTTTGCTGCATAGTAAATTGCAATTACATGTCAGTATGTTACTGATCTATAGAATACACTTTGAATTGTGAGGTATGGCAACTCCCTCTGAGAGGGAGCTAACATGTAAACCTGAATATTTTGAGCGAGTTTTTTTTTTTTTTTTAAATAGCTGCCATGAATGGGAAAGAAAAAGAAAAATCCAGCACTCAAATACCCTAGAAACTTATTTTCCTAATAAATAAATTAAAATATTTTAGTAATTCTTAGCTACTTCCTGTTATTATCAATGAATGGACAAAGGTAAATACTGAAGTGAAGCTATGTAATGGAATTATGGATTAAACCAATTATTTAAAAAAGAAATCCGCCAGGTAACTGCTCATTTACTTTACATCAAGCTGAGATCCTGATAGATACATCTCAACTTTATAATTCAAGACTGCAGTTAAATACTTCTAATTCACTTGAATTACCAGGGTAATAAGACAATTAGGAACCTTATATTTTCTTGAAAAGGACATGCTTAACGTTTTCTGACATTACTTCTAAACTCAAGATTCCTAAGCACACAATCCCCCCGCAAAATGAGTATTCTGCTCTAAAAGTTAATTGGTTGAGAATTGGTAGCAAAAGCTATCACAGTTTAACATTTCCACCAGAGTAGATACAAATAAAAATAACTATTGTTTAAATACCTAATGGATAACAAATTAACATGAACCAAATAACTGAAATTACAAGAATACTGTCATTCCAGTTTGACTATTTTCAGTATTCAAAATGCATAGTAATGTAGTTTGCCTACATTTTGATTCAATTTCATTTTAAATATTGTGCCTGGATTATATATTTAAGGTTAAAATTGGGTGATATCTCATACATTATTCAAATACTCTAAAATAAATCATGATTAGTTAAGTTAATCATAATTATCTATCATAAAACATCACTGGAAATAAAAGCACAGAAATGAGACCAAATAGAATAAAGAACAAGTAGAGTTACAAAAAAGCTAGTTGAACACTAAGTGGATAAAGAGATCTAAGGGGTCAGGGGACTTGCAACGTTCTTATACGAAAGGGTAAACCTCATGTTTTGTCCCATTAACATTGTATGCAAGATGATAGTCCTGTTTTCTAGATTGAGACTGTCTTTAGTATATAGTGCTGGGCAGGCACTTTAGTGACAACATAGAAATGATAGTGGTTAGAAAAAGAAAAATTACCCAGCTACAAATTGGTATCACTAGCCAAATTTGTATTTCTTTGCCAGACTGCTATAGAGGATATATATTTTTATAAAGTGAATTAAATAAAAACTTCAACTGCCTAATTTTTAAATATAAATTTGCTTTTATGAAGATTATAGCAGTTTCTGTTAGAGATTGCAAGAGATGTTTGCTGACCTGTTCAATAATGATCTACATACAGGAAAGCTGTGGTACCTGATTTTTTACCAGCTAGAACTTTTGAACATCCAATGCAATCTTGACTTCACTAGATCACTACACAAAATGTTGTAATCACACAATAGACTACTGGACCACAATGGGGTTAATAATATGCTATTTTCAGAGTGGTAAGAGGAGAGAAGATGGCCAATCAGAAGAATACCACATGTCAACAGGACTTAACAGTAATTTCAATAAATTTTCACTGTCCACTATGGGGGATAAAAGTTTTTTTTTTTTTCTTCTTCTTCTGTATTATTACATCATAGGGAGGAAAGTAAGTAAGTAACCTGGTGTAATAAGTTACCTTAAAAGTACACCTCCTTGGTACTATGGGAATGCAGAGATTTCATTCCCATCAGTAAAGCACCTCAAGAGAGGACTGAGAAAAGTGAGATACAAAGTTTTGTTTGTGCTACACCTAAAGTCATCAACTATAAAAAGTTAAAAACTTCCCTCACATCACACTTAAGATAGCAAAAATGTTTTTCTTAGAACAACTATTGTACATATAAATAAAAGTATGAAGAACTAAAGATTCATAAAGTGACTGCTAATGCAAATTAAGGGGGGAAATTTGGATCAACTCAAAGAACTGATTAATTCACTAATTTAAGAACCACTAAAACTACCCACAAATCATTTCCCCCAATAAATTCATATTCAAGAAGACCTTTTGTCTGAGCTAGAATAATCTCACAGAATCATTAATACAACATAAAACAGTGAATGTTCCATATTTCAAAAAATTTAGTAACATTTTCTTTAAGCCTCACCCGTTCAGTTTAAGCTAATTTTTAAACATTTAAAAAAAAATTACAGAAAAATGTTAAGAACTCTTCAGTGTTCTACATACTAACTTAGAGGTCATGAGAATTTAATTTTCTTCAAAAATAATTCAAGGCACTTTCTTTTGGGGGGCTTCATTTAGAAAAAAAAATAGTGCTACATCGGTTTATCACATTCTATTTAGAACCATTTTGGACAAAGGTCAAAAAAGCTAGACAATTCTGAAAAGAACAAATACAACATTTGGCTTAAAAGAAAAAAGCAAAATAGAAAGTCACTTGAAAATTGAACACTCTCCTTGTTTTTGAGCATCTGGTAATATGAAGCAAAACATCTTTCTTTGATCATTAAAAACCTTTTTTTCCTATAGAATATACAAATTATGAAAGGAAGCATTTACTTAATTTAAATTACAGTAAAGATAGTTGGTTAATGTCATGATTGAAAGAATACTAATAAAGAATCAAGAAATTTAAAAAAATAAAATGGTAAGTAACTGAATTATAATAAAAAATGTGGCAGATTCCTGTATTTTGTTAATGTTTCTGTAAGAGGCTCCATCATAAAACTGAACTGTAAAATTATTTTAAAAATGTAATACATAGAACACAAAATGAATTTTTAGCAAACCTTAGGAAATTCTTGTTATAAATTACCCAAAATTTATAAACAAATCCCCCCTAACTTGCATTTTGTTTAAAGTAATAACTTTATATCATACAAATAAATTTCAAGTATGAAAAGTGCATTATTGCAATAATACCTCTTTGCAAGTCCAAAGTTCTTGGTTTATAATAAACTGTAAAGTGTTTAAAAAAAAAGTAAAACCATCAGTGCCATCTATTGCAGAAGTCCAACATCTTCTTAAAATGTTGCTCAACAAGTTGCAGAGAAACATGTCTGGAAGCAACATATAATTGCAAAGAAACTACTTGTGTCCTTACCATTTAACATTACTATTATTATTTCTAGAATTGTTTCCTTTCCCAATAGAAATTCACACCCTTTGTGTTTGTCTTCAGTCAGCCATTCTGTGCAGTTGCTACTTGCATGTTTCCAAAATCATCTTCTTCCTCATGTGTTCTTTTCAAACTGCCTAAAGTTATTGAGTGAATGTAACATGAGAAAGTAAATAAATTCATGTTAGAATGTTACAGCCAATAAAAATCAGTTTTTCATCAAGTGATACCTTGTACACACTATGATAATTTCACAACTGAATTTATAGCGAACTTTAGTGATTATTATTTTGTAAATTACCCAAATAACTTTTTAACTTCATGACTGGGTATATTTTTCCCGCTGAAACTTTTAAGTATGTTTTAGGTATAGCATATAATAAGCTTTAATTTTTTTAACCTATTCAGAGGACAAACTCTAATATGAACCTAATGTTTTGGTATAAAATTAACAGACTGAAGATTAAAATGAGGCTAAATGCAAATGCTGTTTTGAGTTTCAGATGAACTTCAAATGTTGAGGGGCTAGTCAAAGAGTGCATTAATCATGTTCTCCTGACATCTAAACTGTTCTCAAGAATAGGGAGAGTGACCACTCAGAATGGCAATCATCAAGAATACAAATAATAATAAATGTTGGTGAGGATGTGGTGGGACAGCAAGTTCATACAACCACTCTGGAAAACAGTATGGAGATTCTTCAAAAGACAAGGAATGGAACCACCATATACCTAGTTATCTTACATCTTAGTATTTATCCCAAAGACCTAAAATCAGCATATTACAGTGATACAGGCACATCAATGTTTAAAGCAGCCAAGTTATGGAACCAGCCCACGTACCTGTCCACAAATGAAGGGTAAAGAAAATGTGATGTATATATATGCAATGAGTTTTACTCAGCTCAAGAAGAATGGAATTATGGCATCTGCTGGTCAATGGATAGAATTTGAAAATATCATGCTAAGTGAAATAAGCCACACTCAGAAATCAAGGGTTGAATGTTTTCTCTCATTTGTAGAAGCTAGAACAAAGTAAGCGGGGAAAAGAAGGGGTGGGGAAATCCTATAAAAACAGAAGGGAGATCAGTGGAGTAGAGGAAGGGGATTGAGGAGGAGGGAGGAAGTATGGGAAGAGAGAGGAATGGTGGAATGACAGACTGACCAAATTATGTTATGTTTTATATATGAATATACCAGTGAATTTAACCTTTATGTATATCTATAAAGCACTATTTTTTTTAAAAAATAAACAAGGAGAAGGAAGACCAGCACAACAAAGTTTTCTGAACATTTAAACTTTTCAGCATAACTTCTAGCAAGCAATTGGATGTAACTTTTCTCCTTTTTTTAAAAAATAGAATTCTCTCCAGCTTTCTCTTCTAAAAAGAAAAAGTTCTTACCTGTGGTACCAGAATGGACAGATAAGGACCTTTCTATCTGGAGTGGTGACATCATCTGTATTGTTAATTTTGCTAGGTAGATGGCTTCATATTCCTAAAAAAAGATTTTAATTAACTTAGATATACATTTATATTCTTCATAAAAAAGTGATTGATTTGCATATTATTGGTTTTCTTAGTTTTCAATGAAAACACTGGCACCACATATTGTAAGAAAAATTGAGGTTTAAATTTCTATCTCATAATTGCTGATAACCATAAAATCCAGGTCATACCAAAAGCTTGACCTCCCAGTCCGTATGTGTCCTTGTCTACTGGGGCATTAGCTACAATGATCTCTAATTCTGTCTGATATGAGCAAAAACAAAACAAAACCAACCAAAAACTGAAATGGCAATCTCATTAAATGGTTCTAAGAATGAAAAGAAATAAAATTCAGTCAAAATAAATGCTATAGTGGGGCATGGTAGTGCATGCCTGTAATCCCAGCAACTTAGGAGGCTGAGGCAGGCAGATCACAAGTTCAAGGCCAGCCTCAACAACTCAGTATGACCCTGTCTCAAAATGAAAAATAAAATAAAAAGAGATGGGGACGTGGCACAGTGGTTAAGTACCCATGGATTCAATCCCCAGTACCTAAAAAAAGTGATACTGTTGTAAGATATTTTAAATATCAGATAAATGAGTCATTTAATATACTTAAGTGTATATCCTTTTCTCTAATTCCTTAAAGAAAATATTTTTTTCTCTGCTTCCAGTTAAAGATGGAAGAATCAAAGAATTTCTGTTCCTATTCCTTTTCTGAAAACAAGGAAAACATTTGATGAAATCAGGAAACACTACTAAACCTGAATAGAAAAATGAGGAAAAAAGGATTGATCACCAAGCAGAATAGGGGTAAGTGGTTATGTTACAGAGGGAGGAGAGCTTAGGAAGGAACTTCAAAAGGGCTTTAGGGATCATGGCAAATAATCAATTTCTTAACCTGGGTGATGGTTACTTGGATGCTTATTTAAATTTTATGTATTTTCTTATATGTACTGATTTTTCATAATAAAATTTCTAAAAAATGGAACCAAACTCAGCTAGGCAGAGAAGATGATTGTCTTATTGGCCATCTCAGATAATGTAGGTACTGTTCATAGTTTTCCAAAAATAAGATTTAACATAGATTCAACAAGCCCTTGAGTGGTATGACAAAGTCAGAAGAATGAGTAAGATATGGGAAAAAAAGCAATGTTGGAGGCATCAGAATACCCAACTTCAAAGTGTACTACTGAGCTATACTAACAAAAACTGCATATTTTTTATTAGCATAAAAACAGACATATAGACCAAGAGAACAGAAAACACAAATGAACCCACACAGATATGGGCTGTCTGTCATCTGACCCTTAACAAAAGTGCCAAAACACGTTGAAGACAGCTTTTTAAATAATAGGTGCTGGGAAAACTGGTTATCCATGTATAGAAGAATGAAACTAGCTTCCTATCTCTCATCCTGCACAAAAAATCAAATCTAAATTGATCAAAGACTTAGAAATTAGACCAGTTACTGCAACAGAGAATACCAGGTCAACACTCCTACCTACAGGTGCTCATTGGCTTGTGATATATAGGGGTATACCATGCTACATGCGACCATCATGTACTTCCCTAATAGGAATCTAAAATAATGGGACGAATCAATCATAGAACAGAACTTCTAAAACAATAAACTGAAATAAATCATGTCTTGTTATGAGTTGATTATCTCAGATAATCATATACAAAGAGCTACTATAAAACCTATGAGGAAAAAACCAATAACCTGATTAAAAAAAAATGCAAAGCATACCAATAACCAGTTCACAGAAAATAATCTGAATATGGGAAGAGTCCCAAATTCATTAATTCAAAGGAAAGTCAATTAAAACAAGGAACTGTTACCTTTACCATTATGATGGCAGTGCTCAAAAAATCTGATAAGAACATTTATGGCTACTGTTGTTTACAGTAGGAGAAAGCAGCCACTACTTGCTTCCTGGTTTATATTATTTCATACTTTTTAGAGACAATTTGGCAATATCTATCAAATTTCAAATATTTATAATCCAACAATTCCATTTCAATCAATTATCTCACAGGTAAATTCACAGAATTATAAAAAAAATGCACCTATTAGGGTATCTTTACAATACAGTTTATCATCATGAAAGGTTAGAAACAATCCAAAAACTCATGAATAAGTAATTCATCACATATATGGTTCACAATCTGCTTAACAACTGGAGCAAGTTCTAAGAAATGTATTGTCAGGTGATATCATAGTTTGGTTTGGTGGGGGAGGAGAGGGGCATAGTTACTGGCAATTAAATCCATAGACACTCTACCACTAAGCTATAGCCCCCCATCCCTTTTTTAAAATTTTACTTTGAGAGATGGCCTCGCTAAATTGTCCAGGCAATTGCCTCAGCTCCAAGTTGCTGACAGTACAGACTTTTAGCATACCCAGCTCGTTAGGTGATTTCATTGTGGGAACATCAGTGTATTTACACAACCCAGATAGTAGTTTACTATACCCCCCCCAAGTTATGGGGTGTGTGTGTGGGGGGGGAGGGTGGTATATAGCCTAAGTCTCAAAGTCATGATGATCAAAAGATAATCAAAGGCAAGAGAACACTGAAATCAAGATGTGTGAGACTGCTTATTGCATATACATACTATTTTATAGTAAACTGTAGCAGCACACTAGTTTTCCACCAGCATCACCACAAACATGTGAGTGAAGTGTTGGACAACACTGTTATGATAGCTATGAGATCACTAGATAATAGGAATCTTTCAGATCCATTACCGTCTTACAGGACCATCATCATATGTGCAGACCATTGTTGATCAAAATGTTATGTGGCCAATGAATGTATATTATAGAAATATCTTCAATATTCATTATTAAGAGATTTACTTCAAATTATATTCTTAAGTATTGCTGAGTTTTTAACCATAAGTATATATTATTCTTTCAAATATAAAAATGTTTTAAAAAATGCATTTTTTAAAGAACAAGGCAAAAAGCAAAGAAATTTATAGTTAGTATATCTGCCCATGTCTCAACAAAATCTGAAATAACATGGAAGATACAATACATGTAAGAGAAAAGGCTGTCATATTTAGCATATAGGTTGACCATACCTTACTCAAAATGTTTAGATTCAGAATAGTTTCAGATTTCAATGTTTGGGATTTTAGAATATTTGCATAAGACTTCACTGGAATCTCGAAACTGAATATGAAACAAATTCTGAATATTAAAGGATTTAAGATTTTCAAATTAGGGCTGTTCAACCAGTACTGAGTCAAAATAATCTTATGCCCTGTGTATGATCAAAATACAGGGAAAAAAATCCATTACTTTATGTAAGATTTTTTTTAAAATATCTTTTATTAGTTGTTCATGGACCTTTATTTACTTATTTATATGTGGTGCTGAGAATCGAACCCAGTGCCTCGCACATGCTAGACAAGCGCTCTACCACTGAGCCACAACCCCAACCCTAGATGTTTTTTTTTTTTAATATTTTAGTTGTAATTGGACACAATACTTTTATTTTATTTATATATTTTTATGTGGTACTGAGGATCAAACCCAGGGCCTCACACATACTTGGAGAGCACAGTACCGCTGAGCCACAACACCAGCCCCTTAATGTTAGATTTAACAATGTGTCTTTAATTCCATTTTCTTGATAACAGCACCTTTAAAAATATACTTTCAAATAGAGGTGTAAACTTGAACAATAATCAAATTAGTGAGGTTATGCAAACTCCAAGCACTTAAAAAGTAAATTCTACAAGTGAATTCACAGACAAAAGATTTTAACTATTATATATTCTGAATGCCATAAAGAAGAGAGAAGTTAGCTACCTGAAGTTGATGGACAAATCCAGCATTTGGATTAATACAAAATCTTCTTTCTTGGACATAAGCAAATGCATCTCTTAAAAAACAGAAAAAGAAAATTAATGTAATGTTATTATTTAATTAATTGTTTGAGCATTTCAGAATTTATCAAAATATCTAAAACTTTCCCTAAATAGGAAATCATAACTATATAATTAACACATTGAAGTAGTGAGTCAACACTGGAAATAGCACAGTCAGACTAAATATCATAATCCCTTTGCTAACCTACGATATGTTCTAGGTGTTCAACTTCTCTAAGCTTTATTTTTCTCCTTGGTAAAATGAATATTAGAATACTTATTTGGGGGAACCTATGTCAAGACAGGAGGAGCTTATGTATTTAGTAACATGCTCAAAATATTACTATTGGTTAAATGAGAAGTTAACTCCCCTGAATTGTGAGGATTAAATGAGATAAAAGAGCCTATAATAATATTGGACACAATAGAATCCATGGAAGTTATTTTCAAATTAATATTACTGATAGAAATCCAAATAGAAAGAGAACATATACATTAACATATAAATGAAATTCTTTTAATTGAATCTTTTTCAATTAAATAAACAAAAGCATTTAAATTCAAATATTTCCTTAAGACCTGATACTTTTAAGCAAATGTCTATGTTTAAGCATGAAATGGAAGTGGCACTGATAACAAGATTTCTACCTTGCACAAAACAGAGAAGTGTACCTTATACACTGGTTAGATATTTGCTTTTTTGGGGGGTCAAGAAGGCCATTTCCTTTTAAAAATCTATGTACTATGCTGGAAAAGATGACTTTTAATAAGAAATACTACTCTGAGGGTTGGGGTTGTGGCTCAGTGGTAGAGCACTTGCCTAGCACGTGTGAGGCACTGGGTTGGATCCCTAGAACCACATAAAACTAAAAACAAATAAGGGCTAGGGATGTGGCTCAAGCGGTAGTGCGCTCGTCTGGCATGCGTGTGGCCCGGGTTCGATCCTCAGCACCACATACAAACAAAGATGTTGTGTCCACCGATAACTAAAAAAAATAAATATTAGAAATTCTCTCTCTCTCTCTCTCTCTAAAATAAATAAATAAATAAATAAATAAAAACAAATAAAATAAAGGTATTGTGTTCATCTATACCTAAAATAAATAAATAAATATAAAACAAATACTACTCTGAATTATAGGTGCTACAAATAATTCTTAACTCATTAATAAAACATAATAAATTAGCATTTTAAACAAGGCATCCACTAACATATGTGTCCAAGAGTTTTTAAACTTGAGATTAACCCATTCCCTAGTGGAAAGTAAGTAGTCTTGTTCGCTATTTCATCTATAATGTTACCTTGACTTCTTAAAATCATAGTATTAGCTCCATAAACCACAAAAACATTAGCCTAAGAAAAATCTATACAAGGTAGATGAATTAGGTTAAGAGAGTAACCATGGGCTATAAGCTACTGCTTATCAAATATAAATATTAGAGAAAAACATGTTTACTTCAAACTCACGACCATAACCACTAAGCTTCATTTTAACATACTTTCTTACCTGTATTTCACTCCAAATGTTTCCATAATATATGCAATAACAAAGGCAGCACTAAAGACAGAGAAAAGAAATTTAGAAAACACAACTCATCAATCAAATATTAGAGGAAAAAAAAGATTATCTCTAACTCCATACCTTCTGGAAATTCCTGCATTTCCATGGACAAGAACTTTTCCTAAAAAAAATAAGAACTTGTTATTTTCATAGAAAAACACAAGTCAGCAGCTAACATATATTGAAACCACATATCAAACTACAGTAAATCTTTCCTTAAACATTTTAGATCATATACATGCCACCTGAATATTTATTAATTTTCAAATCTTTTACTGTACAGAAATTACCACAGACTTTAAAAGAAATTTAAAGCTCAGAAAGAATTTGACACTAGTTCTAATAAACATGTTTTTAAAACCCTATCCAAATGAACAAGTATATGGGAAAATATAAATTTGGAGACACTCTATTATATATAACTAAAACTGCCTGAATTTAAGGTAAAAACACACTAAAAACTTACTTTAACAAATAATTTCCTAAAAATAATTAGCTTAATGAAAGAAACATTATTTACCTCCAGTTTGTAAGCTCCCATCAATAAATTCCTTACTCTGAAAGCAAAAGACAATGTTATAATAAAGCATGTAAGATTCATATAAGTGACATAAAATACAGTGAAACAAAATGAAATCTGAAAACAATTTCCTGTAATTTTTTTTTGATAATGGGGAACTGAACCTAGAGATGTTTTTCTACTGAGCTATACCCCAGTCCTTTACAAATTTTCTACTTTGAGACAGGTTCTCACTAAACTGATGAGGATGACCCCAAACTGGATACTCTCCTGCCTCAGACTCCTAAGTAGTTGGATTATAGGTGTGTGCCGCAGTCTGGCTGGGCACAAATCACAGCAGGCGTGCATCAAGGTACTTGGCTCCTGTTATTTTGCTTGAATAAAAAACAATTAATTTCTTAATTCATGAATTTCCAAAATAATATAAATATAACTATTACAAGTTTCAAAAACTGTAAAGGAGTTAAAAAAAAATGTGAACGAACAATTTATTTCCTTTCAAAAATAATCCTACAATTTTCAGTCAAAATGAAGTTAAATTTAATGATATTAAAATATATGATACCTACCATAGGGAAAAAACGTATGATATTTTCAACTGGATTATCTGCAATATCCAAGACTAAATATCTGAAAAAAGAATATTTTATGATAAGCACACTTTCAGGTAAAGCTCTTTTATTTCTAAAGAAATTAACTTTGAGTATTTCTTTGTAATTATGAAAAGAATACAAAATAATTTTCAATGTATCATATTTCTAAGAACAGCTTGATAGATATTGCATGACAGTAGAGCACTTAAAGCCTTAAAAAACATATTCCTTAAAAACATGTTAACATTTCTCTTGATACTTTAGTACAAAAATTTTGTTAAAACAAAAATGTCACAATCAGGAAAGAAACTTTCCTTTAGATCACAGTGGATCTAGAAAATAAAGACAAAAACATGTCCATAATTCTTACTATTAGCCTTCTATTTCTACCAACTTTCTTAAGACCAGAAGATTGTTCTCTGAATGACTCTGTGACCCTTTCCCAAAAAAGACAAAGAATATTTCAACAGGAGCCCAATGTCTGAAAAAGGCAGACAACTACCAACTGTCCCCCTACCCCCCGCAAAAAACAACAAAAGGCAGCAATCTGACGGAACCATGAATCAAAAATTCAATGTTTGAACTAATCTTCAGTAAAATAAAAGACAATGAAGAACACACCTATCCTGGAATTTCGGTTTATTTATTTATTTTTTTGGTACCAGGTATTGAACCCAGAGGCACTTAACCACTGATCCACATTCCCCAGCCCTTTGTAAATTTTTTATTTTGAGACAGGGTCTCACTAAGTTGCTTGGGCCTTGCTAAGTTGCTGAGGCAGGTTTTGAACTGAGATCCTCCTACCTCTGTCCCCTGAGACGCTAGGATTACAGGTGTGTACCACAACATGGGGCTTTGAATTTTACTTTAGAAAGCCTTTAAAATAAGGCCATATCAACATGCTAGGTTTATTCTATTTTGTGAAAACTCTCATCTCTAACCTATCCAAGGTCACTTCTTTGTAGGTAACTAAATTATGAAATTAGTTTTATAGGTCTCTTTTGATAGAAAAATTATAATTCTTCAACGATCCTTTAGGTGGTAACAATTTCAAAAAAATTCTGGTTTTAAAACAGAAAGGTTAAATCCCAAGATCCAAGGAATATCCAATGTATAAAACCGAAGGATTCCAACAACGACTGTATCCTAAAAGTAATTCTGCAGACCAAATTGTGGATACCATTTTGAATATGTCAAGTATCTATGAACACACATAGACAATTTTATTCTTTTTTTGGTTACATATTATTTTATTGTATGTTTATAAACGATGTTTTAGAGTATCTTGTATTTATGGATATTCATAGGCTATAGTAATTTTTATAAAGAATAAAGCAGAGCATAATAGAATTTTTAAAACCACTAGACTTATCAGAAGTTACATGAAAAAGCCAAATTAAAATTGAATGAAACATCATTTTTACTCTCTGTTTTAAAATTCTCTCTTGGTATAATTCTGTCTTAGTGAAATACAGAAAAGACACTCTTAACACTTAACAGTGGGACTATAAATTAATACAACTCACTGGACAGCAATTTGTATTATCTATCAAATTTAACCTGCTCATATTCTTAGGTCCAGCAATTCTACTACTACAAATGTATTCTATTAGTATATTCATATATGAATTAAATGATATATACAGGGATAATCAATATACAATATCTATATTCATATCTACATCTATTTCTATGAAAGTCTGGAAACAATCTCAATGTCCAAAAACAAGAGATTGGTTGAATAAATTTTACTATAGCCAGATGATGGCTTTGTAAGTACTGATATGAAATACTCTTAAAAAAACAGTATAAAAAAACAAAAGTTTATAGTAATATGCTTGTATAAGTTAACATATAATCTGAAAGAATACTCAATGAAGAGGTAACAGTAGATATATTTGGGAGGGAAACAGTTTCTAGGAGAAACAGAAACAGAATACAGAAACCTCCTCTTCAGTATACATTTTTTTAAACCTTTAAAATTTTGCATCATGAGCATGATTTAAATATTTTAAATAAAGTTTGTTTTAAAAATTATGTATTGTATGCTCCATCATTACAAAACAGATATATATAGGGGCTGGGGCTACAGCTCCATGGTAGAGTGCTTGCCTAGCACATGTGAGGGACTGGGTTCAATCCCTAGCACCACATATAAATCCATAAAATAAAGGTATATTGTCCATCTACAACTTTATAAAAAGAAAAAATATTTAAATAGATACATACAGAAAAAAGTCTGATTGTGTAATAAACTTATAGGGACTGAACATGTTTATTAACCTTAACATTTTTTGTAAATCACAGCAATACTTCTTACCTAAATAATTGTTGAAAGTTTGGTTTAATAAAGTTTGCTTCAATATTTTGTCGAATACAAATTATATGGGTTATTCCATGTTTCTGTAGTATAGGTAGCTGTAAAAAATGAAGAGACAGGAAGAAACACAGTATAAAAAGTTAACTATATGAAAATTTACCTGAAATGATCAGCAAGACAGTTTGATGATTCAAGGATAATGTCCTCAAAAGGCTAACATGGATATCTTATATGTATAATTCTAGAGCTTCATGGGATGCTAAAGATAATTTACTTGGAAAACAGATTAAACAGTGGTTAAAAGCATGGGGTTTAAAGTCATGAGAGTCAAAACTAGAAATCCCAGCTCTGCTAATGACTTGTATGCTGTAGCTCAATTCCATCACGTGAGAATGAGGAAAATATTACCTATTAACTAAACAGTGTTGAGAATTATGTAAGGTAATAATTTTAAGAAAGCATAATAAGTAAGTTCAATAATTATTTGTGGATGGGCACAGTGCCACCTACGTGTAAAAAAAAATTTTTTTGGTTTGGTACTAAAGATCGAACCCAGGGGTGCTTTACCACTGAGCTACAGCCCCCAGCCCTTTTTACTTATTTTGAGACAGGCTCTCACTAAGTTGGTTAGGACCTCACTAAATTGTTGAGACTGACATTGAACTGACATCGAACTTGCTATCCTCTTGCCTCAGAAATTACAGATATGTAACACCATGCCTAATCAAAAAATAATTATTTGATAAATGAGCAAATCATGCTGGCATGAGGAATCAAAATAACCTAAATTTTCTAACACCTTTGAACAATAATAATTCATGGCAGAAGTCAAAGAACAAGTTTATATATGTTATGAACTGAATGTTTCTGTCCCCCTCTTCAGATTCATATGTTGAACCCCTTGCTCTCAAAATGTGATATTAGGAGGTTAAACATCTGGGAGGTAACTAGGTTTAAATGAGGTCATGAGGGTAGAACTTCCAGGAGAGATTACCATCCTTACAAGAACTAAGAACTCTCTCTATTGGCAATGCAATGGTATTGCAAATAGGAAGGGATCTGCAAGTTAGAAGAGAGCTCTCACTAGAACTGGATCATAGTGGCACCATGATCTCAGACTTATAGAGAATTATGAGAAATAAATTTCTATTGAACCCTTTCAGTCTATGGTATTTTGTTAGAGCAGCCCTAATTAAGATAATGATTTTCAATGTTAATTTTGTACCAAATTTTCTCATGTCAGCATAGACTAGAGTTCAATTATCTTTGTATTTCCTGAACACATCCTGAGTTAGTGGACAGGAGGTGTTTGGTAGGATTAATAATTAACCAATGTTCAATATTTACATTTATGTCAACCTCCAAAATGAATTCAATATTCATTCCTTTGTTTACACTTGATGATCTTTGGATTTTCACATCAACTCTATTTATATGAGAAACTACAAGCGGACAAAAGCCTGTTTTAACAAGATTTGAAGGCATATTATACTATTAATAGGTAAAGAAAACCTTATCAAAATAGAACTCTTATGTATGTAATAGCAAACAGTATTTTATACTTTTCAGTGGATTTGCTTATATAAAGCAGGTTTTGGCCTTATAACTACAAACAATAGAATTTTTTTTTTCCTTTTTTGTGGTGCTGGGGATTAAACCCAGGGTCTTATGCATGCAAAGTAAGCACTCTACTATACCCCCAACCCAAACAATAGAAAAATTTGACAAAAAGAAATAGTTTACTAGTTACCAAGAGCCTAAATCTGTCTCTTATATAGGAGGAAACACATATTCCTACCCTTGATGGAGAAGGGTTAACTAAAATCTTAACCCATTAAGTTCCAAGTTTTCAATTTTACAAATATTTCAATAAAACCAACACAGGTACATTAATAGGTTGGAAATAATAATCTAGAGCTCATATATTACAATATTCAATGGGTCAAATGGGTTTTAAATTTTCTGATTTTGGGATTTAATTATATCTCATACAATTACAGATGTCAAATATTTTCAGAAAATAAACAAGTTATTAAGAGTCAATTTGGTAAATCTTTAAAACACACAGATTTCATGAGAAAAATATAATAGAAAAACTCTTTTGTGATGAAACACTTGAGAATTACTGGCCCAGTAAAACTAGGAATGAGGCAGGTACTACAGAGTGACAACAACTATTAACAGATAGTATTTGTCAATGTTCTCTAAAAGAAAACTCTTATTACTAAAAAAATTACCCAGAAACATAGGTTTTTAAAGTCTCTTGATGAACCTAACCTAAAGTTCATACCTTGCTTTTCATAGCAGAAGAATATGGGCCTAAGAATAATCCAGGTAAAATTTCCTAGGAAAAAAAAAAATTAACATTAGCAATTTAAATCTATACCAAATATGTGCCACAAATATGGATTTGTGAATTTTTTTTCATAATTGTTATAATAATTTGCTTAAAAGTTTATTATTTAGGGGGCATTTCCTAGCCACATGGAGCAAATGATTGGGAAGAGAAATGCAGATGTGCTTTATAATGTCAAGTGAAATATCCCAAGTTTAAATCTAGGTTTGAAAAGTCATGTATTTACACTTTCAGTGCTTTTTATAAGCAGCTTGGGTAGGATTAGTTCACTGATTGTTGCCTTTTAGATGAATGAGATCTCTGTAATTTTACTTCTATTCTCTGCTCTAGTCAGAAACAACAGGTATAAAGCAAATCTGGAATTACACAAAGCCTTAGTCAGACAAATCAAAAGCAGCACAAGATAGATTAGCACTATTATCTATAGTTAGTTGAAACATACTCATTATAATTATTTGTATATAAGACTTATTTCTCCTACCAGCTTTGTATTGGCAGGAATTATATTTTACTCATCTTTGCATTCTACAGCAGTAAGCAAAATGACTCATATCTACTTACATATATTTAAAAAGTGAATTTTTATTAGGAGAAAAGGTAATAGATTTTTAGAAGTTAAGGGATTCCAAGGAATGAGAGACATCACTTGAACCTGGGGCTGATAGAGTTGGCTGCAAATGTTAAGAAATACAAAAGAAAAGGAACTGCTATGTACATTAGCTACCTCTTTAATTCATTTCAAACTGGAAGCATTCTACTCACTCTTCCGGAAAAACTTAGCTATGCATGTTGAAAAGAAATCAGATACAAAAATGAATAACTTTAAAAACTGAACATGCTTTATAGTTAACTCTCCTGAAATTATCTAAACTAGACCGAAAAAGCAAACTGCTTTCAAAAGGAATACAAATATTGTATTCCATTCTTTTGTTCTTTTTCTTTTTTTTTTTTTAATTGTGGGTAGACACAATATTTTTATTTTATTTATTTATTTTTATATGGTAATGAGGATTGAACCCAGTGTCTCACATGTGCTAGGTGAGCACTCTACTACTGAGCTACAACCCAAGGCCCTCCACTCTTAAGATGAGGAAAAAGTGACTCTAATTAAACATATACATGTTACTATGTTCCTGATTGTAATCTAAGGAAGAAAGGTAAAAATTCACTTCCCATATTCAAACTAAAAAATTTAACTGACACATAAAAATTGTATGTATTTATGAGATTACGTACCATGTGATTTTTAAAAAACATACAGTGTAATGTTCAAATCAAGGTAAACATATCTGTGATTCTCATCTCTGTAAGAGTCAAGATTAATCTTATATATTTAACACAGTTAAGATTTATAGTACTTAATGATAAGCCTATATAGGTCATGAGCCAGCAGGTTTCAAACCTTTGTGAAGGAAGGTTATTAAATAATAATAACATGAGTTGGCTTGAACAAACAAAAAGTTGCCATACCTGCATCTCTCGTCTCATAGGGTAGGTCCACTCCTTAAAAAGAAAACACAAGAATAAAAGTAAATACATGGAAACTGCCACCCAATTAAAGGCTGAAAATGTGACATCCAAGAATGTGGGGTTTTGACCATTAAATAATAAAGAACAGTCTATATTGGGCTGGGGATGTGGCTCAAGTGGTAGCGCGCTTGCCTGGCATGCGTGCGGCCCGGGTTCGATCCTCAGCACCACATACAAACAATGGTGTTGTGTCCGCCGATAACTAAAAAATAAATATTAAAAAAAAAAAAAAAGAACAGTCTATACGACTGGGGATGTAGCTCAGTGGTAGAGGACTTGTCTAGAATGTGTGAGGTCCTAGGTTTGATCCCAGCACTCATACACACCCAAAATCTATAAAAACAGCAAATATAGTAGGTGACAGAAATCAGATCACGGCATGACTATGGTTGGGTGGGGTAGGGAATGCCTAGAAATGAATATAACTTTCCCCTGTTGATAGAAATACTTACATTTTGATAGTGGTAGTAGTTACTAGCATCAAAACTCATGCAGTTGCACACTAAATATATATTACACTCTGTAAATTTTATGCCTATTATAAAAAATAATCTCACAAAACGCAAAGGAAGGGCAATTAGACTAACCCTCACTTCTCAACTGCAAGAATGAAGACAGGAGTAATTCATTCAAAACAGGCAAGACAAAATAATATCAAGAATATATGTAGGCTGGGATTGTGGCTCAGTGGTAGAGCATTTGCCTGGCAAGTGTGAGGCACTGGGTTTGATCCTCAGCATCACATATAAATAAATTAAATAAAGGTATTGTGTCCAACTACAACTAAAAAATAAATATATAAAAAAAGATGTTCTTTGAAAAGGTAGTATCATTGTTTCTATTTTCCACTTCTACTTTAGATAAAAGAACCTTAATTCTGAGTGCAGATAGTCTGAATCCAGAGTTCATTCTCTTAATCACTACACAATACAACCTTTCAGTGTAAGAAGGAATTTTATGGAGAACATATGTAAAAAAGTATTGACTACACAAAATAACAATGATTTGTGAGGACAAACAAAATAGAAATAAAAATGTCATTTCCAAGCCATAAGAAGAGGAAATGTTATCAAATTGAATGTTCATTGCCTCCTACCCCAGTACTGGGAATTGAGTCTAGGACCTTATGTATGCTAGGCAAGCACTCTACCAATAAACTACATCCCCATTCCTTTATTATCTATACAACTTTATTTTGAGATAGACTCAGAGTCTAAGTTGTCTTCACAGTTGTGATTCTCCTGCCTCAGCCTCCTGGGTAGTGGGATTACATAGCTGTGACATAATACCTGGTTTACCTGCCTCTTTAATTTACCAATATGCTAAGTATTCTTTTTAATAAAGAAAAGTTTTTAAAACTCTGGCCAAAGATTCTGCACCCTTTAGTCATGGTACCCCTAACATTAAGTGTAGTGCCTTATGAAAAATAAGCACACAATTGATGTGCATTAAGGAGAACCATAACACTAGAGTCTATTGATCTTTTTCAAAAGATTTTCAAGTAGTCTAATGGACAGCTTTATCTTCATGAAGCAATTTGAGCTATGAGAAGAAAGACAATTAAAGAAATGTATACTTTTTTGAGTTTGCCTAAAATGAAATCACTAATTTTGTGATTGAGTGTAATCAAAGTAAAAAACAAACCACCACCACAAAAAACTGCGACACTTATACAAGTATTGTAGGAAATATTTGTGTAGGGGAGGGAACACTTTTTCTCTACCCTCTGAGGATGTGAAAACTGTCTATGAAATTAACTGTTAATAAGCAGATTAATAGGAGGAAAGGTACACAAAATTTATTACCATGCATGGTAGTAAATACCAAAGCACCAGTGAGACTTACGAGCATATATACCCTCTTCCTAGGAGAAGAGAGTTAGGGGGATGTAGACAACAAACTTTGGAGAGTGAATGATTTTGAGGAAAGATGAACAGGCCCTTAGAAGGATTTATGAAAATTTGTGATAAAATCTGTCTGGATATGGTGTTGATTTCTTCTCCCCTAGTATGTTAATCTTCCATAGTTGATCGTACTCCCTGGGTGGGAACTGATGACAGATAATTTCCTTTTGGAGGACCTATCCATAGTAAGACATGAGGAATTCAGAGAAAGCCTCTCCCCACATTTGTAGTTTTTCAAGTACCTTAATTTAAACTCAAAGTAAAGCAGTATACTTTTGGAACAGCATTTCTTGAACTTCTTCAACTTGGCAATGTGCAGGAAGGAAAAACATTTAGGATAGAATATAAATTTTGTTTTTATATAAATTTGTATTCAAAAGCAGACTTCAGAAAGATTCTACCTTCCCATAAAGTTGTAGGCAACAGAATATGACAGACTATCTCTGTATTTCATTCAAAAAATGATTATAGGAGTAAAAAACAAGTTGTATAGAGAATGGAAAATTATCACTATTTACAGAACAGATTAAGTATGTAGCTTTATATGGGGAAAATCAGGCCTTGCTGTAATACATGCAGTTCTTTTGAAATACAGAAAGCTTTCCTTTCAGAAAATTTTATTTAGAACCACTCTTTAGAACCAGTACCTCATGCATGCTAGGCGAGCGCTCTACCACTTAGCCACCACCCCAGCCCCTAGAACCACTCTCATTGCCATAACTGAATCCTGAATTTAGAGACCACCCTCTTTATAGCCCTAACCCTGTGCTGTAGTTTGGATATTGCTTGGTGTCTCCCAAGGTTCATATGTTGAAATTTATATCCACTGTGAAGTAACAAGAAGGTGGAAATTTAATCCCTCTGTGGTGTTTAGAGGTGAGAGCTTTTAAAAGTGACTGTGTTTAGATAAGGCCCCTAAGATTGAATCCTGAGGAAGAAGAGAACTGAAGACAGTCTGATAAACACACATATATTCCCTGTTCTTTGTCACAATATGCCCTGCACCACTCGGGGATTTTGCCAGCAAGAAGGTCATGATCAGATGCAGTACCCTGACCTTGCCCCTCCAGAACCATGAGCCAAAAAATAAACTTTTTTTCTTTTAACTTACTAGTCTATGGTTGTGTTAATGGTGATACAACATGGACTAAGACACTCTGTGATGTTGGTCTATAGTGGAAACCTTAAACATGCCTTGTTTACTCATTCTCCTAGGGTCTTTTTTGTGTGTGGGTGGAGTTGGGGATTGAGTCCAGGGCCTTGTGCATGTGAGGCAAGCACTTTACAACTGAGCCATATTCCCAGCCCTCTCCTAGGGTCTTTACCATACTAGATCAAGATTTTTTAAAGGTTATTCATGCTCATAGTTTTGCTCTACCAGAAATCCATTTGTCTGAATATGACTATATTACTAAAACTTGTCTGTATCACACTCATTCTTTCTTTTTTGTGTATTAGGGCTTGAACCGAGGGCCTACCACATGCTAAGCAAATACTTTAGCACAGAACTACATCCCTAGCGCTTAAAAAAAATTTTTTTTTTCCCTTTCAGTACTGATGATTGAACTCAAGGGCGTTTTACCATTGAGCAAAACTCCCAGCCCTTTTTTATTTTTCATTTTGAGACAGGGTCTTGCCAAATTACTCAGAATGGCCTCTAATTTGTGATGCTCCTGCCTTAGCCTGAGCAGCTGTGATTATAGGTGTGCATCATTGTGCCTGGCTTAATTTTTATTTTGAGACAGGGTCTCACTACGTTGCTCAGGCTGGCCTTGAACATGTTCTTCCTATCTCAGCCTCCTGAGTAGCTAGGATGTCATGTCCTATCACATCTAGACAGTCACACTCATTCTTAATCTCAACCTGCCCAGGCTGTTCCTAAAATCCATCCATTTACAAAGTAGAGTATTAAGTGCACCAATGAAGGACATTAGCCATAACCATTAGATAAAGCATAATTCTTACTATCAGATGGATTAGATGAACTAAAGTGTATAACTTTTAGAAATGTCAACACAGAATTCAAATTTTACATAGGTGGAAAAGAGGAGGAGCAGTTCTGGCTAGGGGTGGGGGAAGAAATCAGAATACCATACCTGAGCTGGGACATTTAACAAAATAGAAAACAGATTATATGCTTAGTCTCTCTCTTCCAAAAATGGTAGACCCTTCCAGAATAAATCCCTTTTCTTTAGTTCCTACATGTAACTTAGCCTGTGCTTAAATCAAAGGACAAAAGGGGATTTTCACTCAAATAAAAATGAGATCAGGAGGAACACAGAGTCAGAACAGCATTCAATTAAGAGACTTTTAAATCAGTGATTTTGGGGGCGTACTAGAGGAAGCCAAGGGTGCTTTACCATTGAGCTACATTCCTAGTTCTTAAGTTATTGAACTGGTTTTGAACTTGCCATCCTCTTGCCTCAAACTCAGAGTTTGCTTTGAATACAGTGTGTTCTACTACACCCAAATGAAATTTAATAATTTTTGAATTATAAGCCCAATCCAGTTAAGAATTGTAATGCAAAAATAAATAAATAAATAATAATAATAAAAAAAAGACCAATCCCGGGCTGGGGATATGGCTCAAGCACTAACGCGCCGGGCTGGCATGTGCGAGGCACTGGGTTCGATCCTCAGCACCACATGAAAAAATAAAAAAATAAAGATGTTGTGTCCACCAAAAACTGAAAACTAAGTATTAAAAAAAAAAAATTCTCTCATTTCTCTTAAAAAAAAAAAAAAAAAAGACCAATCCAGATATAAAACTGATTTGCTTAAAAACTGGTATTATAAGCTATTCTTTTTTTCTTCCTTGCATCTAGTAGACTCTTGATACAAATAAGACTATACTGTCAAAACCAGTCAAGATTCATATTTGTTAAATGTCTGGTATATAATAACAGACAGGGCAGTGGCAAATAAGATAGGAACTGAATGGTAACTAAACTTCCTTATGAAAGGTTCAGTCTATCATAGAAAATTGACAAGACCAAAATTTTCAAGAATAACTTTTACAAAAGTAAGTATTCAAAGTACAAAGTTCAAGAATCACAGTCTATGGGACAA